CGCTGGCGGCCGCCAGCAGCGCCCACGGCGGGGACGCAGCGACGATGACCAGAGGCAGCCCATGGGGGGGGGGATTCAAACCCCCCTCCCCCCCTCGCGCCGGCGCTGGCGCTGACGGCGGCCAGCAGCGCTGGCGCTGGCGCCGGCAACGGCTGGGACGCCGCGACGATTACCACCACTACCACCGCCACCACTACCACCACCACCACCGCCTCAACCCACCACCACCACTACCAACAGCACCACACAACCACCACACCACACCACAGCCATAACCACCACAACCACCAGCACAACTCACCATCACCACCACCACGAAACCCACCACCACTACCACCACAATCTACCACACCACCTCAACCGCCAAAACCACTACCAGCAGCACAACCCCCCACCACCACCACAAACCACCACACCACCACCACCACCGCGGCCACCACCACAACAACAAACGTCCACAAACCACGCCACCACCACAACACCACCACAAACCCACCACTACACCACCACCACACCACCACAACCACCACCACCACCACAACTCACCATCACCACCACCACCTCCACAAAAACCCACCACCACTACAACCACCACCACAATCTACCACACCACCACCACCACCGCCACAACCACCACCACTACCAGCAGCACAACCCACCACCACCACCACAAACCACACACCACCACCACCGCCACCGCCGCCACACCACCACCACCAGCACCACCACCACCAACAGCACCACAACACCACCACAACTCACCATCGCCACCGCCACCACCACAAAAACCCACCACCACTACCACCATCACCACAATCTACCACACCACCACCACCACCACCGCCACAACCACCACCACTACCAGATGCACGACCCACCACCACCACCACCACAAACCACCACACCACCACCACCACCACCACCACCAGAGGCAGCCCAGGGGGGGGGAGGTTCAAACCCCCCCCCCTTCGGCGCCGGCGCTGGCGGCGGCCAGCAGCGCCGGCGCTGGCGCTGGCGACGGCGGGGACGCAGCGACGATTACCACCACTACCACCACCATCACCACTACCACCACCACCACCACCAACAGCACCACACAACCACCACAACCACCACCACAGCCACCACCACCACCACAACCGCCACCACAACTCACCATCACCACCACCACCACCACAAACCCACTACCACTACCACCAAAATCTACCACACCATCACCACCGCCACAACCACCACCACTGCCAGCAGCACAACCCAGCGCCACCACCACAACTCACCATCACCACCACCACCACCACAACAACAAACGTCCACAAACCACCGCCACCACCACCACCACCACAAACCACCACCACACCACCACCACACAACCACAACCACCACCACCACCACCACCACCACCACCACCACCACCACCACCACCACCACTCACCATCACCACAGCAACCACCACAAAAACCCACCATCACCACAAGCTACGACACCACCACCACCACCGCCACAACCACCACCACTACCAGCAGCACAACCCACCACCACCACCACCACCACAAACCACCACACCACCACCACCACCGCCGCCACCACCACCACCACCAGCACCACCTCCACAAACCACCGCCGCAACCACAACCCACCACCACCACCACCCCACTACCAAAACACCATCACCACCACCACCACAACCCACCTCCACCACCACTACCACCACCACCACCACAAACCACCACCACCACTAAACCACCACCACCACCACCACCACCACCACCACCACCACCACCCACCGCCACAACTACCACCACCACCACAACAAACCACCACACCACCACCACAACCACCACCACAGGGACCAGCACCACCACCAAATCCCACCACCACCACCACCACCGTCGTCCTCGTCGACGCTCCCCGCCACCGCCGCCCGCTGCCGCAGGCGCCGGCGCCGGCCCAGAAATGGAAATCGTCGTCCTCGCCGCCGTCGCCAGCCGCCGCCGACGCAACCGCAGCGCCGGCCCGAGGAGAGGGGAAGCAGTGGGGGGGGGTTCGAACCCCCCCCCTCCGTCACGGGAGGGGGGGGGAGAGGGGTCCGGCGGGGGGGAGGGGTTCGAACCCCCCCCCTCCATCCGGGGGGGGATGGTCCAGTTCCAACCCCCCCCTCCAAGCGACCACAGAACGCGCTCTTTCTGATCTTTTCACAACGTCGACCCCCAGAAGTCTCGACCCCTTCCACGGGACCCGTTCTTCATCCTGACTCGTTTTTTTGACGGCTCCGAGGCCTGGGACGGAGTCCCGGAGGCCGAAAATAGCGAAAGACTTGCCGTCGCTATTTCTTCACAACGCGAGGTCTGGGCGCCTGGTAGCGCAGACCCCTGCTCCGGCGTCCCTTCAGAAGAGCTCAGAATTGAATCGATAAGTCGGATCGGCGATCGACATGAGGATCGGCGGAAATCGGCAGCCGAGTCGGGAAAAGTCGAATCGGCAGAAATCGGCAGGCTAGTAGGCCTCCCTTGAGCAATCGGAGCCCACATCGGACTCCCAAGTCGAATCGAATCGGAATCGGAAACCACCGGAATCAGATCGAATCGGGTCGGAGGAGTTTTTTTTGTTCAGCCGCTCGCCATCACGCAAGGTTTGCAGACCGGCGAGAAGCAAGCGTGAGCATGCCTCCAGTTGGAAGCAGCCTCCGGTTGCGCGCCCCTTCTTCGCGGACGGAGGGTCAGGGCAAAGGTAAGGATGCCCTTGTATTAAAATAGGCTGGGCGAAGGAGGAGGAGGAGGAGGAGGAGGAGGAGGAGGAGGGGAAAAAGGAGGAATCGGGCCCGGAGGAGTCGAAACGAGCCCCGCCCTTGGCCGAAGAGCTCCTCCTCGTCCTCGGGCGCCCCCGCGGCGGCCGCGGGCGCCGCCTCCGCCGCGGGCGCCTCCTCTCGGCGGCGATTCGCGGGCGCAGAGGCCGGCCGGCCCGGGAGAGCCCAGGGCCAGGTCGAGGAGCGTCGAGGGTCGAGGTGCTCCTCCACCTCCTCCTGCTCATCCTGCTCCTCCTCCTCCTCCTCCTCCTGCTGCAAACTGTCACGTGGATGGCTCGGTGCCCCTTGGGGAGGCCCGGGGGGGAGAGGGGTCGACGAGGGGGAGGAGGGGGACTGGGGACGGTCGACTGGGAGGGGAAGACTGGGGAGGGTCGAGGGAGGAGAGGAGGTTCTCTGGTGATAGGGATGGTTCCCCGGTGAAAGTTGAAAAAGCTGCGAAGGGTTCGTTCCCCAGCAAGAGGTTTTCAAGGGAGAGCTGCACGGGTCAGCATTCCAACGACGTTCCAGGAGCCATGCAGCCTCCGTGGGTTGCCTCAAGGGAGGTCACTTGCTCCTGTGTGCACGTTCGAGGAAATGCTGCCCGGGAACGAGCTCGTCCAAACATGTGATGGATTTCATTCGGATTATGTCGTACTCGGAATCCTCTTCCCGTTCGAATTCTATGCCGTCCTCTGGGATTCCTTCCAATTGGCGCTCCTGGGGGGTCCTATTGTAATCCCAATGTAATCCGATGGGAAATCAATCAAATCCCACGCGCATTCACTTGGAACCTTTATCGAATCCGATAGGTTTCTTTCCCGTTGGCACCGTTTTGGGTTCCCGTTGGATCCTGTCGGGATCCAACCGGATTCCTTCCTATTGGGATCTCATCGGACTCCAATTGAAACCCGATTGGAAACCAATGCGACGCATCCCTGTTGACATCTCGAATTGGCGAGCAGGGTTCCTCAAGTTTCCTTGGCGTTCCTGAGGATTCCTCAGCGTGGTAATCCTATTGTATGCCTAGTGTGTTCCAAGTCCATAATACTTGTGTTGTTGTCTTATGCTCTTGTGTCCCTCTTGTTTTCCTACTGTACCTCCTCCCTAATGTGATATTGTTATATGTATTATGATTGCATTCCTAATGTGTTACAAGAATCTGTGTTCATGAGAACTGTCACCCGATGACTAGGAAGGGAACCTACGAATCATCAAACTGCATCGTTCCCTGAGAACCACCAGACTCCTAGGAAGGGATCCTCGAAATTGCCAAATTCCTAAGGGGGGAATCGCCGGGATGCCTCGCCCCTAAAAATCCTAAGAATTGCTTGGCTCCTAGCAGGCAGCCCCAAGAATCTTCTGAATGTCTAGCGTCCCTAAGAATTCCTCCGAGAGTCCAGATTCCGACGAAGGAATCCTCGGTATCTGTCTAATTCCATGCATCCTACGGACTGTGAGGTTCCTAACAAGGAATCCTGGGAATACTCGGAAGCCCTAAGGTTCCTTCAGGGGACTCCGAGGAATCCTTGGAATCCCTCGGGATCCAAGGAACTGCCATATTCCTTGGAAGAAACCCGAGGAACCCTCGGAATCGGGACCCCAGCCAGGGATTGACAGATTCTTCAAGGAGAATCGTAAGGAACCCCGGGATGCTTCGGGCTTTTTAGCAACTGCCAGATTCCTGAGAGGGAACCCGAAGGAACCCTAGAATTCCGATCGGGCTCCCAGGAATTGCCAGATCCCTCGAAGGGAATCATCGGAACCCTCGGAATTCCTCGGAACCCAAGGGGTTCCAAGATTCCGAAGAAGGGGGTCCAAGGAATCCTAGGAATTCCTCGGGCTCCTAGGAGCTCCTCGAAGTCCTAAGGATCCAAAGGATCCTGAGACGTGTCTGGTTCCGAAGAGGGGCTCCCAAGACTCCTCGGATTGCCTCGGGATCCGAGGAATTGCAAGATTCCAGCGATGGAGCCGTAGGAATCCGCAAAGTTCCCGGGGACCCTAGGGATCGCTCGATTCCTAGAAGGGAATCCTAAGAAACCCCAAGAAGCCTCAAGATCCTAGGAATTGCCGAAATGCCAAATTGAGAGGGAATCCGGAGAATCCCCTGAATTCCTGGGAGGCCTAATCTTCTGAATTCCAAGGATCCGTCGGAGGGAATCTGAGGAATCCTTTTAATTCCTCGGAAGCCACGGACGTGTCATATTCCTGAACTAGAATCCTGGGGATCCTTCGAATTCCTCGGAAACCATCCTCGGAAGCCAAGGAATTGCCATATTCCTACAAGAGAACCTGAGGAATCCTTCAAATTCACCAGGAGCCAAGGAATAGGTAGGTTTCGAAAACGGAATCCTAAGGAATCCGAGAAGCCTCGCAGAGGCCTCTTAGGAGCCTCTCAGGAGCCTCGCAAAAGCTTCCTAGGGGCCTCGCAGAGGCCTCTTAGGAGCCTCGCAGAGGCTTCTTAGGAGCCTCTTCTTAGAAGCCTCGCAGAGGCCTCTTAAAAGCCTTGCAGAGGCCTCTTAGGAGCCGCCTCGCAAAGGCTTCGCCTCGCAGAGGTCTCTTGGGAGCCTTGCAGAGGCTTGTTAGAAGCCTCGCAGAGGCTTCTTCGGAGCCTCTCAAAGGTTTCACAGGAGCCTCGCAGAGGCTGCTTCGGAGCCTCGCAGAGGCTTCTTAGGAGCCTGGCAGAGGCCTCTTAGGAGCAGGTATAAAGCTCCTCACACTGGGGAATTTCACTGGGGAGCTCTTTCCAACTTCCACCGGGGAACCATCCCTTGCACCGGGGAACCAACCCTTTCACCACGGAGCAACCTCTTCTCGGGTCGAGAGGGAGGGAGGGGGAGGGGCGGAGGGTCGAAGACGGCGAGGGGCCGAAGGTCGGGGGGGGGGAACGCACAAGGGCGTGGCCAGGGCCAAAAGACACTGGGTCATATTTTTGGCGCGTCGCACCAGATCGTTCGCCTGGGTCGCACACGGGGGGTGGCTCAAGGCGGGGCGGCCTTCTATAAGAGGGCTGGGGGGAACTTCGAAAGAAGGCAAGGGCCTTCTCCAAGCTTCCCGGCTTCTGAGAAGCCTTTTTTGCAGTGCACCGCTGACGAGCAGGCTCCAAGGGCAACGAGTTGCCTGGGACTGGAGGCCAGGGCAAACGACTTCTGAGAAGCCTTCTTGGAAGCTCCCAGGGCCCCCTGAGAAGGGCCCGGAGGCTTCTGTGGAAGTTTATCTGGAGCTGGGCGGGCTCCTGAGAAGCCCCCTGCCTTGAAGATCCCGGGGTCCAGGCGTCTGGGACCCGCTTCCCTCGGGATTCCCCTCCTTCATGGCGAACCTTCAGATCCAAGCGTCGTAGCAGAAGTCGTGGAGGCAACATGCTTCTGCCTGTTCGGCCTGCGAAAACCGTTTCTCGCCCGTGGGACTGGCCAACAAAAATGCTACGGATGAAGCGCTGGTCCCATGGAAAGGATAATTACACCAGAGAAAAAAAAAACCCAATCAGTGGATGATTTCCGCTGAGGAGACAGGGAACCCGGGAGCCCCGGAACCCTGCAAAACCCACCGAAATCGGCCCAGAACCAATAACCGGGAACCCGGGAACCGGGACCCGGGAACCCGGGAATCCAGCCTGCTACCAAAATCGGCGGAAAACTTTTTGCCAAATCTTTCAACTTCCGGACCCCTTCAGTGCAAGCACTGATTGGGGAAAAATCACCTGGGCCGACGCCACAAAACAATCGGGTCGGGCGAAAGGGGGGGATAGCAAAGGGGGGGGGTTGAGACTCAGCTCACGTAGCTGATTTTCCCGGCGCCTCCCGGCGCCGGAGGCGGCTATGTATCGAGGAATGGGCCCCTCGGTGAGGCCGACACCAGCTGCATGCAGCAAATCGCGTAACCCCCCCTTTCCCAATCCCCCCCCTTCGCCAGGCCCGAAACAAAAATGCAACATTGGAGGAGCGGACGCCACAGAGAGGAGAGGGATCGACGCTTCTCGGTGTTTGTTGCTCTTGCTGGGGCGCTGGGCCCTCGCCTCCAAGGGGAGGGGGGAGGCGGGCGAGCGCGAGGAGAGGACGAGAAGGATGAACATGGGAGCAGGGCAGGAGGAGGATGATGAGCGAAGAGGATGGAAGGGACGGGAGCAACGACAATCCTCCTCCTCCTCCTCCTCCTCCTCCTCCTCCTCCTCCTCCGCATTCACCTCTCCTCCATCCAGCACGACGACGACGACGACGACGACAGCGAAGAGGAGAACGGCGGCGGCGACGACGACAAACCACATCCTAATCCAGGAGGAAGGGGACGACGACGACGACAGAAGACAGACGACCAACGGGCGGATGAACGGCCTGACGGACCGACGACGACTATGATGACGACGACTACGACGACGACGACGAAGGGCCTCCCTCAAAAATCGACACCCGACTCCTGGACCTCCCCTGGGGCGGGTTACTGCTATGAGCGTTCAGAGGACTCCGCCCGCGAGCGCACGTGGAGCCATCCCACCCCTGGATACCCAAAAAGATGTTGCACACGTTCAAAAGCTTCGAACTTCGATGCCCGAACCCCGAAGGACCGACCACGACGACGGCGGCGACGACGACGACCGCCGCCGTCGACGACCACCACAACGGACAGGACGCTAAGCTGCTCATGGCGAGGTGGGGGGAAAGATAAGGGCGGGCAAGGGGCGAAGATTCCGGGCCAGAAGAGACAACGAGCGGAGCGCGAGCGGAAGCAGGGGGAGACCGGGAAAGAGACGGGAGAGCGGAACGAAGGAAGGCCAGCAACAGAGAAAGCATGAGAAAGATGGACACAACAAGCAGCGACGATGATGGTCGATCACGACGACGACCACGACGGCCGAGCGACACAAAAAACGACGACGACGATGACCGACGGCGGCGGCGGCGACAGCGACATCGGCGCGACGACGACAGCAACGACGACGACGACGACGACGCGATGGCGACGGCGGCAGCGGCGGCGGCGGCGACGACGACGACGACAACGACGGCGATCGACCTCGACGACGACGACGACGACGACGACGACGACGACGACGACGACGGCGATCGACCACGACGACGACGACGACGACGACGACGACGACGCGATGGCGGCGGCGGCGGCGACGATGGCGGACACGAGCCGTCGCCTCGTCCTGCTCGGCGTCCGCCTCGCCGGCCTCCTCCTCGCCCTCCTCCTCGTCCTCGTCGTCCTGCGGCGCGGCGCGGGCCCCCTCCCCGCCCTCTTCCTCCTCGCCCTCCTCGCCATCCTCCTCCTCCTCGCCCTCCTCGCCATCCTCCTCCTCTCCCCCCCCCCTCCTCCTCCCTCCTCCTCCTCCTCCTCCTCCTCCTCCTCCTCCTCCTCCTCCTCCTCCTCCTCCTCCTCCTCCTCCTCCTCCTCCTCTTCCTCGCCCTCCCCCTCCTCCTTCTGCTCCTCCTCGTCCTCCTCCCTCCTTCGGCTCGTGCCGATCGCTGGCATCATCCTCGCCCTCCTCCTCCTACTCCTCCTCCTCCTTCTCCTCCTCCTACTCCCTTTGCGTTGCACAGACATATCATTGCGTTGATGGAGGTGCTTGCGATGAAAAACGGGAGAGAAACCGGAACGCAACGAGCGACCGATGTGGGGCTCACGCAAAAATGCCCCAGGTTTCTGGAAAGGGAGAAGGGAGGTGAAGAGGCAAGGAGAAGTGGAGACGCCCTCGGGCGCAGAGGAGGCATCAGGCAAGGAACCTCACTGAGGGTAAGGTGCACACAGGGTCTTCCACCAGAATCTGTCTCCAATCACAATCTGGCTCCCCCAGGGATCATCGTTGTCCTCCTCCTGCTCCTGCTCCAGCTCCTCCTCCTCATCATCATCACCATTATCAGCATCATCATCATCATCATCATCATCATCATCATCATCATCATCATCATCATCAGCAGCAGCATTATCATCATCATCATCAGCAGCAGCAGCATCATCATCACCATCACCACCATCACCATGATCATCATCAACATCATCATCATAAGCATCATCATCATCATCGCCATCGTCATCGTCATCGTCATCATCATCATCACCATCATCATCAGCATCAACATCAGCATCAGCATCAGCATCAGTATCATCATCAGCAGCAGCAGCAGCATCAGCATCAGCATCATCATCATAATCATTATCATCGTCGTCGTCGTCGTTTTCGTCGGTCGGTCGGTCGGTGGCGACCAGGATGACCCAAGCCCACACAGCGCAGATGAGAGCAGACAACGGGACAAGGGGAGAACAACAAATCCAAGACAACCAATGACTGCAGCCGCGCAGAAACGCGCACCTCGTGGGGTGGCCCAGGGGTCTGAACTACGGCCTATGGCGCAAACGATAGGGCGCAACGGGGGGAATTCCTGTCAAGCAGAGCCTTCCTTCAAGCAGGTGCATGTTAGATGACAAAGTGACGGGTGTCCTTGGCCAGCACAGCACCAAGGGAGCACTACTTTCTCATTGTTGAACGGACACTGTGGCGGCCGTCTTTGCTGCAGCACCACCACCCGCACCCAGCGGACTGTCACCTTGCACCACTCAGAATGAACAGCAGCCCCTAAGAACGAGGAGGGAGGGTTGGCAGGATGGGTTGTCAGGGTCCTATGGCAGCCACGACGTGCGAAGCGGCGGTGGAAGGATGGCCGTCCTTGCGCCGTGGTGTGCAGCAAGCAATCCGTGGCAGCCGCAGCCGATGCGCATGGATCCTACGGGATTCAACGGCTCCCGAGGCCAGCAGGAAGCGACCGAGCCGAGGAGAGCAGCCGCGGCAGCCCGGGTCCCTCTTGGCGAACTGCAGTGAGGTCGGCAGTGGTCCAAAGAGGCTCTTCTGCCGTCTCTCCTTCGTGACGTCCTGACCCCCCCGGGACCTCCAAGGAGAAATACCCCACGCCACTACTAGAAGAAGAAAAGACGCCATAAACAAACTGTTGGCGCTCCGCGCGGAGTTCTTGGATCCGCGCTGGACCCCCCTCCCTGGCGCACGGAGCGATAGGGGCGGCGCCGGAGGCGTCGCCGGGGGGCCTCAGCCTCGAGACATACCCCACGCCACTGCGCCGTTCGGACCCCCTGTCAACGCACCCTGACAATGTCCCAGCACTGGACGTGGCGCTTCCCCCCGGTGCGCCCCTGCGTCCGCACCGCAGGCCCAGACTGCCGGGAGCATCTCGGGGAGGGTGCACCGTTGGGGCGCGAGAGCGAGGTATCACTGCGAGCAAGGCGCAAAACTGTCTGGAACAAGTATCGAAAGAAGGATGCGGCATCTGGTCCGAGTCTTCGTCGACTCCCCTTCGTCCACCTCCTCCTCCTCCACCCCTCCCCGACCTCCCTCCTCCTTCCCCTCCTCGTCCTCCATCCTCCTCCTCCTCGCCCTCCCTCATCCTCAATTTCCTCACTCCTCCTGTCAGGAGGGATGAGGAGGAGGAGGAGGAAGAGGAGGAAGATGGGCATCTCACCACTCCCGTGCTGTCCGGGTCCTCGTCCGAGTCTTCGTCAAACTCGGCCTCCAGGTCCTCCTCGTCCTCCTCGCGGCGGCGGCCGCGGAGGAAGCCCGGAAAGATGTCACGCCCAAGCCGTTCTGATGGCCTGAGGGGCTCTGCTGGGGGGGGGACCGGCTCGCGGGGGGGGGGGCGGGGGAACATCGACCTGGAATCGGCGATAAATCGCAGATAGATCGGCGATAGGCCCCAGATAGTGAATCCGCGCGGTCCTGGGCGGGGTGGGCTATCGGGCCCCTGCCGGCGATGACTGAACTGTTGGGGGTCGATGCATCCCCCCGTGAGCCACTCCCCCCTCTAACGCTGCCTATGACTACGCCGCTCTTCTAGCAACTTCCCAACACTGGGAAAAACTCCCAATGACTCGGAGACAGTAACCATGGCATCCGATGATCGATCCCCCCTGTTATCATCAACACACGAGCAATTGAATCCAGGACGGGGGGGACCACGGAACGATACCGCCAGCACACAATATCCGCCACCGCGCCTCTGGCACGGAGTGGAGTGCCCCAAGGCTCTTGCAGCACTGAGAGGTAGACGCTGTGCTGCTGCTGCTGCTGCTGCTTCTGCTGCTGCTGCGAGAATTGTGAGTCTTCAAGGGCCCGGACCAATCAATCGTTTCCTAGGTCTTCCCGGGCTGGCCCCCGTGAGTTCTGAGGTGTTTCCTGCGCCTCCTGTGGACGCTGTGCCCCCCCTCAAAGCGACCTCCCGAACCCTCCCCATGAATCCAAGAGGGCCCCGAGTCGCCGAACGATCGCTCCAAGACGCCCAGGATGGCCTCAGGATGGCCCAAGAGGCGTCCAAGAAGCCACGAGGGACCACCAAGAGGCCTCCCAAGAGATGCCAACGAATATCCGGTAAGCTTTACACCCACAACCCAGGCACGGTGGCGGGATGGGCCGAAGGCCATTAGCGGGTAATTGATGAATTCCCGAAGCGAGGTGGAGGGGGACCAGCGAATTCTCGGGAAACGTCAGGCGACCCCCGAGGAGAGGGAGGATGCGGAGCGACGACACGAGGAAAAGCAGCAGTCGAAGGAGAACAGAAGGCATTCACATGAACTATCGGTGGTCCGCGCTGATGTCCTGGATCGGTGCTGGACCCCCCTCCGTGGCGAGCGCAGTGCGCCAGGGGCGGCGCCGTCAGGGTGGGCCCAACGCCGATCCAAGAAATTCGCCCAGAGCTCCGAAAGCAAATGTGTTTGTGCAATGTGCTACTCTTCGATCCCATCCTGCACACTGCCCGCGCCTGCGTCTGCTGGCTGCGTTGTCCCCACTCCCTCGTCGGGGCCAAGGGGGGGGAGGAGGAGAGGGCAGCGCCGCCGGACTTGGGGACGGAGCGCGCCGATTCCGCACGGAAGCGGGACCCGTCGCCAAGCCACGCGTCTTCATGCATGATTTCGTTGCGAACCGAGCGCGGGTCGCCTCCGAGACGACCATGCCATTCGGGGCCCGCCTGCCCGCCCGGGCGCCGCGAAACCCTGTCCGACGCAGCATCGCCTGAGGGCCAGCGCCCTTCGCGGCAGCGTCGGACCGCCCAGGGCGGCGACGAAACGACGACGACGACGACGACGACGACGACGACGACGACGACGACGACGACGGGCCGAGGTCCGCAGGGGATGCACCCGCGCGGAAAGCACACGTGCCCCAAGGGGGGGCGACCCCAGAGGAGAGGGAGGGCGCGGAGCGGGCGACACGAGGAGCAGCAACCAGAAGAGAATAGTGAAGGGGCCCTGGGACACACAAATAAATAGACACAACTAACACGACTCCCCATACTTTCCCGTATTTTCTGAGTTTCTGTCTTCCCCCCCCCCACTGCCTATATTTTCCCATAACTTCTGAGGGGAACCGACGATGAACTGTGTCTGTGTGATTTTTCCCCCTCCTGAGAGAGAGGGAGTCGATCGGCAGCGCGCCCGGGGGGGGGGGGGAGAGTCAGAGAGGGGGCGGGCCCCCTCCCAAAAAGGCGCCGAGGGCCTCTGGACTCCCGTGCAGCTCTCGAGGCCCTTCGGGGGCGGACAGAACCCCCAACAGTGACACGTCGATTCGTGGAATTGTCCGCTTTCGGTTCTCGAGAGGGCGCCGCGGCCGTCATTTTCCAGGCTTGCGCCCGCCAGGTTTGGGCCTCAGGTCGTTTTCACTAAACCGCGGTTTCCTAAAGGGAGGTCTGTCCATCCCCGAGCCGTCTCCGAGGCCCAGCCACCCTCTGAGAAGGCCTGCCCCCCACAGTCGGACTTCATTGGACAGGACACGCGAGAGGGCACAAGACCCCTCCGAGGGCCACACCGCCACGAGAATCCAGGAGGCACGCGTCGCGAGGCCCAGGACACGAGGGTACCCTTGAGCTGGCAGGGTCGACCTACTGATCCGGGCCGCCTGTATCACTTCCCCCCCTCTGCGCGCCGCCGGTTTGGGCTCTCGGGTCACCACTCGGGCCTCTGGCTGTCGAGACGATCCCGGCCTCCCCAGAATGCCAATGGCGAGGCGCTGGAAAGCACCCCGAAGCTGGAAAACCGCCGAGAAACGACAATGAAACGCAACCGATAGGCTTGTGGATGCCACGACAATGGACACCCTAACAGTCCGATCATCGATTTGAACATGTGTTTAACATGTCGGGAAATGTGCCGAACATGTTTAAAGCATATTTGTTCAGGATTGTTTGAATGTTTAAACAGTTTGATCACATGTTTAAAACACCTGGAAATTATTTGGCAACATGCTTCCTCTCCATTAATCGACTTCCACAACGATCGGCCTCTCACTTCCTACACACAAATAGCAGGACTCCCCATGTGTTCCAATATGTTCTGGGTTTTTGTCTTCCCCCACACATCCCATATTTTCAATCTAAATCCTGTGGGTCGACGATCAACTGTGTCTGTGTGCTTCTCCCCTCCTGACGATAGGCCTCTCACGTCCAAAACCGGCGCGCCGACGAGAAAGAGGAGGAGAGCGGGGTCCTCCTCCTCGTCGCCCTCGGCCGCTGGCTGGCCCCCCTGCTCGGCCTCGGCCTCGGCCCGCTGCTCCTGCGCGGCCTGGGCACGGAAATCCCCCTGTTCCTCCTCTTCCTCCTCCTGCTCCTCCTCCTCTTCATCCTCCTCTCCTTCCTCCTCCTGCTCCTCCTCCTCCTCCTCATTATCCTCCTCCTCCTCCTCCTCCTCCTCCTCCTCCTCCTCCTCCTTACGCTCCTTACCCTCCGCCTCCTCCTCCTCCTTATCCTACTTATCCTTACCTTCCTCCTCCTCCTTACCTTCCTCCTCCTCCTCCTCTCCTCCTCCTCCTCCTCCTCCCCCTCCTCCTCCTGATCCTCTTCATTCTCCTCCTCCTCTTCCTCCTCCTCCGTCTCCTCCTTCTCCTCCCCCTCGTCCTCCTACATATCCTCCTCCTCCACCTCCTCCATTCCTTCTGCTTGTAAATGGCCCCTCCTTGTCGAACCCCGAGGCCTATCAAAAGGGCGGCCCGGCCGTGTTGCATGAGACGCCCTCACCATGTATGACCCGAAAGCGAGTGGTTTCCAAAATGTCACTCTCAATCCTCCTCCTCGTCGCCATCATCATCCCCATCGGCATGAGCATGCGCGTTATCATCGCCATTATCATCACCTTCATCACCATCAGCATCGGCATCATCGTCATCAGCATCCCCCTCTTCGTCCTCCTCCCTGGGAAGGTCTTTTTGACTCTACACGTCGTTCACTTCTAATTGTGCTCGTTTCTAACTGTGCTCGTGTCTAACTGTTCCTGGACCCCTAGTGGCCAGGAAGAGGCCCAGGATAGAACAGTTAGAAGTGAAAGGATCGTGGCACCATCCAAAAAAAATAATGGACTTTCGAAGAATTAGACATGAGCCTTGGGCAGCCCTGCTCTGACCACCGCGCCACGTCGCCGCGGCCAGACTCGCGCCGAGAGCGTGCCCGCTCTTCTTCCCCCGCGGCCAGGCAGAACAGCACGACGGTAGTGTCTGGGGGAACTCGGCTGCCTGTGATCCAAGACTTGCTTCAAGACGGGCCCGTCCCCCCTACAGGGGGATTCGCGAGGAACATGTTTGAAACAATAGTCGAACATGTTCAAGCATGGTAAAGCACACTCATACTATCGTCCCCAACATATGTTTTCACTATTTTTGAATTTTCCTCCTGTAGAGGGATAGGCCCGACTTAAGGCGTGCTCCAAAAAACAAAAAAAAAACAAAAACGAATGA